CCCCAAAACCCCAAAACCCCAAAACCCCGTTTAGATAAAATTCACAATTTAAAGGCAAATGAAATAGTTATAATCAATATTTTATTATCAAATAAAGAACTTATAGTTCAGTCTGTAGCTTTAATTTAAGTGAACAAAATTTATGACTTATCAACTTAAATAATAAATTAAATATGATCTCATACAAACTTTTCTTTAATCTTTGCAGGAAAAATAAAACTACATTTGATGAAGAATCAAGATTAGAGTGGGCTCGGGAGCGTAGAGGATTGATCTTAACAATAAATTCATTGTTCGTCATTTATATTGCTTTTGTACTACAGCTAGATATTAGGAAAATCCTGAATCTAGATGTCATTATTGAGACCTAGGTATTTACTTTAGTAATAAAACTAAGTCTTTTATGTTTTCATTTATTGATGATTGCTATGTCAATATACTCGATAGATTACTTTGCTAAAATACTTAAATTTCAATCAGTGTGGCTCATATTTTTGTTTGGTATTTACACACACTTAGAGTTTTTCCAAGATGTTTAAGATCTTATAGTTACTTTTGGAGGATTATATTATCTCCTACCATTATCGATAAATATTACTAATGAAAATTGGATAGTGACAATGCCCTTTTACTTTATTATTTAAATATACCCTATCCTTAACTTTTTCTTGCACTTTCCTGAATTCTAAACAAAGAATTATTATGCTACGGTTAGCATGTTTATCTTGTATCATTATTTCACATTTTTGGTTATTGGTATAGTCAGCTAGAGAAGTAGAGAAAATTTATTTATAGAGAGAAAAAAAGTAAAGATTGTAAAAGAGGAATACCATTAAATTCTGGAAAATCTCCCAGAAGGAATATTAATTGCAAAAGATGATGATAAGGCAATATATATGAATTAAGAACTTAAGCAGTTTCTAAATGTGACTGGCGACAATTATGATGCAGGCTTGATTCTTAAATTGTTCAAGAAGCACTGCTTTAATAATACAGGCAGTCCTCTCAAAGAAGAAGATTTGCCCCTTAGGAATTCTGAATAAAATATTTTTTAATCAACCTCGTTATAAGAAATGCTCTCTTAAAAAGATTGGTGCAAAGAAAATGATTAATTTTATGAACTTGAACTAGTATCTGGAGAGCAATGTGATGATGAAGAAAGAATATTTACACATATCTAAAAGCTCGAAATTTAATACAAACAAAAGTCTGCATAAATGATAATAATACGGAATATAAGTCACATTATTCATTATGAAAAAGCTAAAAATTAAAACAAGTACTTAGAATTACTCACTCAAACTATGTCTCATGAATTCCTTACTCCACTTAATTCAATCTTGCATCTTAGTGCCTTCATAGAAAAGAAACTTCAAGAAAAGTATTTGAAAGAAAGGTAAATAACTGGAGATATGGGATCATAGGTAGACAAAGATCTTAAAATATGCTTAGACTACCTTAATATTGTTAGAAGTTCAGCTAGCATTATGTCTTTTCTTGTTAAAGACTTGCTTGATTTAATGTATATAAGACAAAACTCTTTTAATCTTGAGAAGAAGAACTTTTCTGTAATTGAAGCTTGCTAGGAGGTCATAAAATGTTATGAGATACAAGCACAAATAAAGAAAATTTACTTAAAAATAGAGGTCGCAGATCATATAAAACGAAAAATAAAACAGATTTGTGGTGATAAGCTAAGATACCAATAGATCCTATTCAATATTATTTAAAATGGTGTAAAGTTTACTTTCAATGGTGGTGTTAAGATCAAATTAGCATTGCTCTCAAACGATAATTGCGAGGAATGTGGTTAATTAGTCACTATGGTTGAAGATACAGGAAGTGGAATCACAAAAGAAATTTAAGAAAAGTTATTCTAATTATTCGCACTCATGAGTGATATAAATAGTAATACAATCTCAACTCAGGGCATTGGACTTGGTTTAAGCATATGCAAGCAACTAGTCACTAAATTAGGAGGATAAATTAAGATTAATACAATTGTCAATGAGGGCACTACTGTGAAGTTCTCATTTCCGTTTTATTGTCATTACCATGAGGAAAATTAACATCAATTCAATCTTAATTCAGGATTGCTATCAAATTCATAACCTAGATCTAACCCAGAAAGTTTCTGCGATAATATGACTATGAAATCAGGCTACTCAGCTAGATCTAAAATATCTGCAAAGTCTAAGACTAGAACTAGAAGATTTTTTGAGGTTGAAATATTTGCCTCAGTGCATTAAAATGTAATTGGCAAAAAAGATGATGAAAATTAAATTCATAATAGAATCCCAACAAGGTAAAATAATCATAAGGAGCCTCAGAGTTTTATAAACGCAAAGACAGATGATACGAGTTTTCAATATAATCTTGAAATTAATAAATAACAGAGTAACAATTTAAGATTTGAAAAATAAGATAGAGAAAACAAAACAACCAATTTTTATAATAGCAAACAAAAATAAACCTGGGATAATAATTATACTTAACCTAAGAGAATGCCTACAGAGCATATAAAAGTGACAGATACTTAGAATGACTTAGAGGCGTCTAATTCACTAATAATTGATATCAGATCAGGTGGAAGAAACAAGTCTTTTCACTCTCAATAACCTCGTTTAACATCCAAAAGAGATACTTAATAGAGAAATACTACAGATGTAATTGATGATTATAGCGATCATAAGAATATTTGCTTCATAGCTAAAGCCAAGCACAATGATTTAAAAATAATTAATAAGAAAAACGGGTATCAACAACTAAATATCGACTCAAAAAATAATTCTATGGAATCTTCACAAATACTTCCTAAGATTCAATCAAGTGGATTAGATTACTCTGTTATATCTGACAAGAAAAAGACTGCGTTTTTTGGTAATTTCTAAGGAAGCGATGCTGCAAATAACCAAGAATCTATGATAGACTTTTGTTCAAAAATGCAACCAGAATTATAAAACTGTTAAAAATCTAACAATGAAATTATCGATAGTTAATTAGATATAAGAGATATAACGATGGTAAAAGTAAGTAATAACTTTGAAGAATATCAAATGAGAAAAAGTACTGTTCACTATGCATAACCTGGAAATTTCAACTTTAGTAGAATCTAATAATCCAATTAAGTTCAAGTTTTTGCCGAACGATCGGACGAAGATGATGATTCTGTGAATGATTATGAAAACAAAGATAATCGAATTGGAAGCAGTTTGAGGATAGTTATTGACAATGAACTATGTCCACAATACTAAGAAAGTGATAGTGCAGATTAGGCCAGTGACTAATAGTATAATAGACTGAACCAAAGTAATAACAGATCAAACCTTAAAACATGTTCATGTGAGAGTTCGGTGTTGATAGTTGACGATAATATGTTCAACTTGATACCGCTTGAACTAATTTTGAGAGAACTATTCCACATCTAAGTAGACAAAGCAATGAACGGACAGGAAGCTGTAAATTTATTCCAGAAAAACATCATGAAATAGTGTTGTGATGTTAAATACAAATTAGTACTGATGGACCTGAATATGCCAGTAATGGACGGATATGATGCCACAGTATTGATCATTTAATCATTTAGAAGAGTTTTCCCAGAAGGCGTTTATTCTAACGGGGATCAACTTAACATAGTAGCAGTGACTGCTTTTGTAAATGACGAAAACATTCGAAAATGCATAAGAGTAGGCATGAAAAAAGTGTTGCATAAACCAGTAAATTGTGAAGAGCTAGGTAGCGTAGTTGACTAGTACTTTCACTATCGAATATAGTAATGACCTTATTATAAAATATATACCTCAAAGACTACGAAATATTTCATTTAATTTCATTATAAATAAGATTTTAACTTTAACTGTCATTTTTTACTTCAAGGGGTTTTGGGGTTTTGGGGTTTTGGGGTTTTGAGGTATATATT